CAAGCCCCAAACAAGCATAATCACTCAAAGCCAAGAGTCCTTAGCCCCTTTCCCTCCCCTTGCCAATCAAGTACCATTTCGTTAATGAATCCATCCTATCACTCCAAACCTCGCTCTTGATCCCTCATTACAGACGAACCCGTACAAGGTGGCAACCTTCCTTCCTGTATTACGACCTTGAGACATCGACCCTATCCGCCCCTCGACTTTGAAACCTAGCCCTTGCACTCCTTACACCCCTTTAAACCCAGAACAAGAAAACATAGATATATATATATATATATGTATGTATATCTACCTCTAGAACTCGTGCTTAAGGATCAATGAACAATGTACGATGGGTCATCCTATGTATCCAAGTCCCTTTTATTGTGCACAAGGGCATGAGACTTGTCAGGACATGAATCTCTGCATTTTTGGGGTCTTTCCCGAAGGAATTGACTATTCCTAGTCACTTTCCCGCGGGTCCCCAACGGGTCCTTGACGGGACCTTGGCGGGTCCTTGGCAGGAGCTTGGCAGGCGGACGACCGCCCACCTCGCGCCCACTGGTACAATGTGCTGATTTCTTAACCCCTCATTTTATTGATTTGTGGCGCACTTGTGTGCCTCGATTGAGGAATGTGAGTCTTGGGTAAGGAACCATGGAACACCTAAACATTGTGTCCTACGTAAAAGACCTTGACGCACGAGACACCATTGGGAAATCACAATCAATTACACGAGGCACCGCGTTTACATATTTACGCTTTGAGGATATTAGTTAGTTAGCCTGTGCACTTGGGTTCTCTAGCCCAGGTGTGGCATAGCACCCCGAACGCTTGTATTTATATCTTGGGATTTAATAAGATTCTACCTTTATTATAAGTTTTAAATGTCTTGAAAATCTGGGGTGTTACAACGTGCTACATCCTGAGGTCGTGGACCTCGATGGTTCTCTAGCATACGATGAAAGACCCGTAAGAATCCTGGACACCAAGACAAGAACCACCCGTTGTCGGGCCATAGAAATGGTAAAAGTCCTCTGGACCAACCATGGGACCGAAGAAGCAACTTGGGAACTCAAGGACACAATGAAGGAACGCTACCCCGAACTCTTCACACCAGGTAACCAAGAGGGAGTCGCCCGACAAGAACCAAGCTTCGGGGACGAAGCTTACCGTTAAGGTGGGGAGAGTGTAACACCCCGTGTTACGACCCCTAAAAAAAATTAATCATTCAACCAATTATCCAAAGAGAGAATTAAATTACAATAATTAATTAGCGAAAAGGCCCACCATGGTCCGTGGGCCCTCACTGCTAAAACCCAACCCCTAGCCCTAAACGGAATAGAATTAGTAAGGCTATAATATTAGTTCCTAATTAGGACTCCTAAATATATAAATAAGGGACTTAAGAGGCACCTAGAACCCCCCACCACAATAATCCCTCACCACACAAGAAGTTCCAAGAATTCCCCTAGGAGAAATCAAGAAAGAAGAAAGCTTCAAGAAAGACCCTTCATAGCCAAGGAATTAATTAAGGCTAAAAGGTAAACCATGTCTCAACAAAACCTATTTTCATAGCTATGATTCCCCTCTTAGGATTTCCCCCATATTCTTGTGTATTGATGGTTCGTTATAATCTTGATAATTGGTGTTATGATTCCATGGGTGATCTTGATGATAAGAGGTTCTTGATGATTATATGGTATTCGTGATGTTCTTGATGATTATATGATGTTCTTGATGTTTATATGATATTCCTACCGAATCTTGATATTAGAAGATGAATTGTGTTCTTGTTGATTTAAAAATAATTAGAACCCTAGGTTATATCGTGGAATTCGTATGGTATTATTCTTGGTATATTGGGTGGGAATTCGCATGTTTGGGTGTTGATTATGTTTAGAAAAGCATGATAGGTTATGTGCCGTATGTTTCTTGCATTTGGATCCATTAATTGTCCACGTGTTGTTGTCAATTGCGTTTAAAAGTGTCTGAGCATGGTTTCGGGTTCCACAAAGGTTCCCGAGATGTTTTTGTGATAAAAGAGTCAGTGGGGGGTAGGGGACCCGCGACCTACCTGCGGCCATTGTTGGCGTCGCCGGCGGGCAGGCAGCTGCCCGCCGGGCACCCGCTGCCCGGAATCATCGCCGCCGGCGGGCAGCCGGCGGGTGACCCCTCACCCACCGGCTACCGGCTGGAAAAATACCCAATTTGGGATTTTGGCTTCCCCGTTTGATGTTCCCCCGACCCCCGTGGTGTCCCAACGGACTCCGTCTATCGTGCCTATGTCTAGTTTGATATTTCGTGTACCGTTCGTAGGTTGTATGAGTCTTATATAGTACATGCTAGTTGAATTGGTATCCCGTTGACCTAGGTGAAAGAAGTATGAACCCCATAGGATTATTCTTAGAATCTGAAGGATCACGCATAGGTTTTGTTATACGTTTTCTCCCCCTTCCCAATGTGTTAATGTGGGTTGCATGTGCTTGCTATGTGTTATGTGTGCATGATACCCCAATTCGGTTGAGATCGGATTGGTATTTCCTGAGCTGCGGTTCAAAAGCTGGATGCGGTCAGATTTACACTCTTGGGCTGCGGTCCACCGTTTGGTTTCGATCAAACGTTTCTACATGAGCTGCGGTTCATATTTCCTGGCTACAGTCAGATGACATACTCTTGGGCTGCGGTCCACTGTTTGGTTTCAATCAAACTATGATGAGTTGCGGTTCATCGGTCAGTTGCGATCAACCCCTCCGTGTTGCGATACGGGGCAGGGTGCTGCGGGGCCGTGTCAGAGCTATATGCGCTGACCCTCATGTATGGGCATGCGATTGGTCCAGTAGCGCCAACAAAATGTGCTATGTGATGAGATATGGATGAGTTGTTGTTATGAGTGTCTTGGGATGTGACTTTGGGATTTATGCCGGGAATCATACATGTTGGGTTATGGATATTAACTGTGTTTATCTTTATCTGCCTTGCCTGTTTCCCTATGCTTATGAATTGTATATGCTTGATTATGACCGTTGTCTGTGCTAAGCTCTATCTGTTGAGTCTATTCCCTATTTTGAAAGCTAAAGTCTCTTAGGATATATCTTCATGCTTCGAAATGGTTTTTCGTATAACTATGTATATATCTATATGTATTGTATTTCAACGCGTTGGAGTGGGTTACCAACATCTCTCGCTGAACATATATATTTGGCTTTCAGGCACAGAAGAGTAGACACTGGAGCGCGCTAGAACCCTGGAGTATAGACGTAGATAGTTTTCCTTTTGGCCTGCGTGCCATGTTATGCATTCCCTTTATTAAGGATATTAGTTATTTAGCTTGTGCACCTGAGTTCTCCAGCTCAGGTGTGGCATAGCACCCCGTACTCTTTGTATCGTATTTTGGGATTTAATGAGATTCAACCTTTATTATATATATTTTAAAAGTCTTGAAAATCTGGGGTGTTACAAACTCCTCCCTTCTTCCCGTCATGTACCTCAAGTATTCAAGATAACCCACTCTCTCTTGGGAAATCCAATCATCCCTATCATAAGTATCTACTCCTTTCAACGGCAAATCAAACCAATTGAACAATTTTTGTGGTGTCAATTTTACTTTAGTGCCTCTAACATTTGAAGTAATTACAGTAATTCCCTTCTTTAATTTGGTGGACAAATTCTCATAAAATTCAATAATCAAATCGGGGTAAATCTCCTCTTGAATCCTTAAAAATTTTCTTGGAAATCCTTGATCTCCTAATAGTCGATTAATTTCTTCAGAAAAGTGTTCAGGGAAATAGGTTTTACCTCCAATAACTGAGTAGTTTGAGCCCTCATGACTACATTCATCTACTTGTTGCTTCCCCTTTGCCATTGGACTCCACAATCTACTTGCCTTGAACTTGGTTGGAATGAAGTGGATGACTCAAGTAGTAATTTTCTTGCACTTAGTAGGAGTTGTAGAATGAAACTTTGAATTTTCTAGGAGAAAATATGAATTTTTGAAGAAGTTGGATTTTGCTTTGGGGGTGAGGCAGTGTTCAGCCGAGCAAGGTGAGGGAAGAAGAAGGGTTCTGCAATTTGATTTTGGGGAAAAAGCTTGAGAAAAGACCAAAATAGAATTGGTGGGGCTTGGTCATGGCACTCCATGCGTTCCACTGCCATGATCTGCTGTCTGCCTCTCTAACATGGTTCCAGGTCTTGGACCATAACGTGGTCCGTGACCACATTCCGTGAAACGGAACGGACTCCGTTACGTTCCGTGGGCATGACCCGTCCCAGCTCGGGTCCTCGGTTCTAACTCTCCCATCAACAACAATTCCAATTAGTCCTCCAACTTTGACAAATCCTCAATTAGAGTCAAAATCAAGAATGGTCATTGACTTTGCAAAATCCCGAATCTTAGTCAAAACCTTGATTTTCCAATTTCATTTCGGGATTGTTTGGTCCAACTTAAACTCGAATTAAATTCTTGTCTATTTCTTTCCCGTCATTTCTTAATATTTCTCGTTCCCACTTTAACTTTGAGGATTTAATCACTACCCTCCGTAAAACTAACTCTGCTAATTAAACTTTAATCGTTCTTTAACGATTTCACTTTTACTTGTATCTAATTCGTTCTTATAAGATTTCACTTACTTGTTCTCGGTACCCTTTACCGAAACTTTCTCAAAAATATTTGTAAATAATGTCTTAAATCTCAAAGTCTTAAACAAATCACAAATTGCACCAAATCTTTCAAGCACACACAATACAACAAGAATTTACACAAGAATCAATAACACTTATTCCAAGTTAGAGTGTTACCTTTCTCAAGATTGTGCCCCGCAGCTTGCGTCTGTCCAATCACCATGATCCTCCCCCGAACCGGTTCCTTCCGGACGTCCTTGCTGAGACCCCCCGCATCCCTGGTTTCCATTTCTGTGCGGGCCTCCACCTGATTGATTCCCACGACCCATTCCTAGGTTTGGTGCCTGGTTGAACTGGACTCTAGGCAGTTGACTCTGGGTCGTACTGTGGGATCTTTACATCTTTGGGTACCAAAAAACGGCGGCTCTATGTCCCGGCTTCCCGCAGTTGAAACATGTAACGGGTCTGCCTCCACAAGTAGTCCGAGGGTGGTCCCTACCACACCTCGTGCAAGCCACGCTCCTCACACTAGATAACCCTCCACCTCTAACTCCCTGTCCTATCACCGGATTCCTCCTTTCCCCATTTCGGTTGCCATTTCTTGCTACAGGATTGAACCTATGCCCTTTACTTGACTGTGAGTCATTCCCCTCACTCTTCTTCTTCGGTCCGTGCATGGCAATCCGATGTAGTTGCTGAATTCTAGAGTGATCGGCGACTGCGTCATAGGCCTCGTTCAAAGTGGCAAACTTTGCAGCAGTGAAAAGCTTCTGGGCATCGTAGTGCAATCCACGGACGAACTTCCAGGCTTTGCTAGCCTCATCCGGTGCTATGGTAGGAGCAAATTGAGATAGCACCACAAAGCGGACATGATACTCCTGCACAGACATGCTTCCTTGCTCCAGATGCAAGAATTCCTCGTATTTAGCAGCCTCGACATACTCGGGGTAGAATCTTTCCCTCAACAAGACCTTGAACATTTTCCAATCGAAGCCCTCTTTCTCCTTAAGGGTTGGACCCTCCATTACCCACCAGTGATCAGCCTCTTCTTGAAGATAGTACACAACGGTCTCTACTCGCTGGTCCAGCAAATAGTTGACAACGTCGAACAGTTTATCGAACGTACAGATCAAACTCTCAAGGATCTCAGGGTCTTCCTGGCCCAGGTAACTCGGCGGGTTGCACCCCGTGATCTTTCTTGGCACATCTCGCCACTGTTGTTCCCTTTAGCACGGTGTTCCGATGGTCTGGGCCAGCTGACGCAAGCTCTCTGTCAGATCGGTAGAAGATGAAGCTCCAGGTCTGGAGGAACGAGGAGTCTCTTCTCTGACTCTTTTCGGTGGCATTGCGTTAGCCCTTTAACATGATCAGAACAGATCATCTTGGTTAGTACCTCTAAGAATTAACTACTTTTAACTTCTCTTTTCTTAAGGCAAGGCTTACAACAAGTAAAACACGTAAACGGAATATAAGTATACGCTCTTATACTTATTACTTTAAAAACTTTCACAAAGTTTCTCTTTCAAACTTCAAGTTTCAAAGTCTCAACTTCTAGCTTTTTCTTTCAACTTTCAACATTTAACTTTCACTTTCAACATTCAACTTTTAGCTTTTAACTTTTACTTCTACTTTCAAAGAAAGGAAAACTGCACTTTAAACACAATGATAAAGCACAAAAACAGTTAAGCATGCGTAAGGAAACTCACAACCTCACCGCGTTCTTATCTGATTCTTAAAGTACTTCTTAACTTGGATTCTTACACTTAGCCACTGAACTAGAGTCTTTCTCATCTTAGATCTCATAACTTAGTGTTCTTTCCTTAACTTGTCCATCCTAGGACTTCAACTTAGGGTTTCTATACTCAATACTAAGGCTTAATCTTCCTAAGTTCTCGCGGTTCGTACCGCTCTGATACCAACTTGTAACACCCCACTTTTCGTAAATCTTAATCACAACGCTTAACTTAAAAATGATACTAAACAAGATCAAGATAAGATTAAAAGCTTAAAAGTCAAACCACAAGAGGTGTCACCGCCACAATCACCACACACGGTGATTGCACAGGCGAGGAAAGTCTAACTAAAGTCGAGTTTAGACAAACTAGAACCAAACTTGGAAATACTCTACGGTGTCCAACACCATAAAAAATAACTAACAACGTCTAACTTTCAAAGTTTTAACAAAGTCATACTTCTTCTCATACTTTAATGCAAAACGTGCAAAATCATAATCATGCAATAAGATGAGCTTTTGAGTATAAGTATAGATAGATATACATATACACTCATTCTTTTGTAACAAGGAACACTTGTTGTGTGGAGGTTTCTGTAGAGTTGCAATGACTCACTTTTCTCTTCTTTCACTTGAGTCTTTTGACTCGCTTTCTTTCGTTCTTTCTTTACTTTACTCGCGGGCGAGGTAGGAACTTCACCACAATGTGAACGGGGTACCTATCTGGGCTCGGCATCTAGCCGACCTAATACTCATCTCGTCCACAGAACCACCCTCTTGGTTCTTTTCGCAAACTCCGTGGAATCAGGTATCGTACTTGTCAGTGTGCACACCCCCTGACCGGGACTCCAAGCTCGGCGGGTAGTATCCAACCTAGTAACTCGAGAATATCGACCTCATTACTTAACATCGGATCACAATGTCTTTTTCTTTCTTAACTCTCTTTCTTTCTCTTTTCTTCCGAAAGGACATAGTCCTAACGGGCCTCCTAAACCTCGGATTACTCACACTAGATACATATAGATATAACTCATGCACTTCTTTCTCATGCAATAAATCTACTCATGCAAACTCATGCACATAGTTTCTCAACAACTTCTCTTTTCTCACAAATTGGAAATCAATTATCATGCAACTTCTCAATGCAACTAGATAATGATTTTCCAAAATAGATATAGGTTTTTGAAAGAATGCTTAGGTTTACTTAGAGCCAAAATGCACTTTAAATCATGACATGCTAAACATGTTCTTTTACTGTAAAGAATACTTCAAATTCTCTTTCACTGTGATTCAAGCAAACAAGGTGCTACTTCATGCTTATAACTCAATACTTGGCAAATCTTCTTAGCAAATACTTAGTAAGTATTGATCATGCTCTTTGAAACTCAAAATATGCTTCATACTCTAGCAATTTCCATTTATTGTAAGCTAAGAAATTAATGCAACCCAAACTACTGAAGATCCATTAAGAGTACCAGTTGGGCCAATCACAAGGTCTAAATCCAAACAATTAAGACAACTCTTTATTGGTTATGTTCAAAAATGGTGGAAATCCAATTCAAGCCCAATTGCAAATGATGGCGAAGAACTCAAGGCTTTTTATAATTGTTTAAGTGCTGATTTTGGTGATTAAATTAGGCCCAAATCAGCCCTATTATTTTTGGTCATCATTAATTTAAATTGTTTGGAATAAAAGAGAAAACACTAGTTGTATTTAGAAAGGATTCCTTAAATCCTTTTCTAAATAAAACTCTATTTACTTGTTTTCTAGATTAGGTTTATGACTCTTTTTCCCATTGTATTTAGATTACAATGCTGCCCTATACCTATAAATAGGGCACATCCATATCAGTTTTGAGAAGGCTTTAATTCAATAAAATTCTTATGTTTTTCTTTACACTTGTGTAAGAAACCTTATGGCTAATTGTGGACTCAATTAGTGGCTAGTCGTGGACCCGACTAGCAAATTGATTCGTGGACTCGAATCAATCTTACTTTCTTCAACCTTAGATTTAGGTTCGTGGACTCGTTCTTGAATCGAAGGAAACTAGATCCGACTCTAGTTGATTGAAGATTGCAACATCGAGGTACTTGAAGCTACATGGGATTCTTCCAAGTCTTTGAGGATTCGAGACAAAGGGTTTCTTGTGCGGTTTAAGGTATTCTTGATCCATCTCTATATTTGCATTGAGAGTAATCTTGGGACTAATACTCCATCTTTATTTGAACCTTGGACTAGATTCATATCAATTTGGTATTCAGAGCCTAGGTTTATCTCATTATCATTAGAAATTTGGTTTCTTTGGTTCCCTAGGTTTATCTCTATCTTTACTTTGAGAGCATTCTTGGGACAATATTCCATTTTATTTGAACCTTGGACTAGGTTCATATCAGAAATCAAGCACCGGACATATCAAATTCTCACATCTTTGGCAACGCTTCTCAATAAATAACCACAAGTACTTAGACATGCTTTTCAATCAAAACTATCAAATAATAATCATGATCCACTTTCAAATAGCTAAGCTCAATTACTTTAAATTTTCTTCACTGTAAAAAATTTACAGAACACTTCAATAGCATTTCTCAACACAAATTCTACTGTAAAACAAGCATTATAACTCCAAATTCAACGAAATCAACTTCTACTAGTGCGTCGTAACGAACCCGAGTGTCCGAGCCTCAAGGGCCCATGAGCCCCGGTCCGAACGACACGTAGCTGAGCCACAGAGGGCCTGGCCAGTAACCACTTTTGGCCTGGCGAAGCTTGGTGGCGGGGATTGGGAAGCCCTGCCACTTGGCTCCACCAAGCGGCGGCTCTGGGTGACGTACCATGCCATGGTCGGTCCTATGGGATCATCCTCCATGGTTCTAGCCAGCGGACCTCCTCGAGGTCCGTTGGCTAGTACCATGAGGCAATCTGGTGCACACTGCCTGGTGCACCAGAGCCTCTCTCTTCAACTATATACATGCTCAGTGCAATCGAACACAGCCAAATCCTCAACAACACAATCATAGATCAACAATAACTCATTAATAGCTCAATCACTACAACTATCTAGCAATGAATAAATCTCGGTTTTGAATTTATTTAAAACGTAGCTCAAAATAATTAATTCCAACACCGTTTTCATCATAAAAATTTTGCAAGAGTGAAAAATGGATATTTTGGAACTTCATAAGATAGAATTTAGAAAATTAACTTTTGGGATGTCACATCCTACCCTCCTTAGAAGAAGTTTTGTCCTCGAAACTTAGAATGAACGGACTGGTTTTCTTAAAACGAAAGCTTTCGAAAAGTTGGTAAGAATTTCAAGAATTGGCTTAAGAGCGTTCTTGGGATACATGGAGGTTTAGAAATCTCTGAGTTTCAAGCTAACACACCACAACAAACTAAAGCACTACTCAAATCTAACAAATTAAATAAAGTCTACTAACTGAACTTTAAAGCTTAACGGTTTACCTTGGTCAACGTCTCCGGGAGCACCACCTTGAGGCACGTAGTTGGGATCGCATCCATACGGGGTCCATCTTTGAACATTCTCTACTCCTAGCATCTCCTAGATAGCTGCAGCCCTGTAACACCCCAGATTTTTAAGACATTTAAAACTTATAATAAAGGTAGAATCTTATTAAATCCCAAGATATAAATACAAGCGTTCGGGGTGCTATGCCACACCTGGGCTAGAGAACCCAAGTGCACAGGCTAACTAACTAATATCCTCAAAGCGTAAATACGTAAACGTGGCACGCAGGCCAAAAGGGAAACTATCTACTTCTAAGTTCTAGCGCACTCCAGTGACTTAATCTTCTGTGCCTGAAAGCCAAATATATCTGTTCAGCGAGAGATGCTGGTAACCCACTCCAACGCGTTGAAATACAATACATATAGAGATATATATAGATATATGAAAACCATTTTGAGCACGAAGATATATCCTACGAACTCTAGCTTTAAAACCGGGAATGACTCGACAGATAAGGCCAGACACAAGCAACAGTTATAACGAGCATATGCAGTTCACAACAGATAAGGCAGATAGGGCAAAGCATAAACAATGATCATAACCGAACATGAACAATCCCCAATATAAATCCCATAGTCACATCCCCCAAGACACTCGTAATCACAACTCGTCCATGTCACAACACATAACACACTTTGTTGGCGCCACAAGACCAATCGCATGCCCATACATGAGGGTCAGCGCATATAGCTCTGACACGGCCCCGCAGCACATTGCCCCGTATCGCAACCGACCGATGAACCGCAGCTCATCATGGTGTTTGATCGCAACCAAACAGTGGACCGCAGCCCAAAAGAATGTCATCTGACCGCAGCCAGGA